AATAAGACCTAAAAAATACAAAATAAAAATGTGCACACAACGAGAGAGAGACTTATAAATCTTGGAGTACCATAAACTCCCAAAGTGCCTCATAAAAGGAAAATATGCTTTCCGCCATGGTATGGACAGATTTGGTGACCATTCTTTGGAATCTCAAACCAAAACCAAAAAGGGGAAGAAAAAAAAGTTGACTTCCCTTCTTTCTATGACCATATGAATAATTTAGATGGCTATGTTTAATTAAAAATTACACTCGAATAATTTATATTTTCTCTCATTACTTGTACTCCCATTTTTCAATAAAAATAAAAATGAAAATTTTAAAATTTTCACGAGGGTGGTTGAAGAATTCTTTTATCATTGGAAAAAAAAATTACTACATTGCCAGTTGACTTCAAGAGTGTTATGATACCTTGTTTTTCTTTTTAAAAGACATTTTGGGAGATTGTAAAAATCATTTCCAAATGGACTAAGTGATTTTCAATTCAAAATTTATCATTTTTAATTGAACTTCAATCATTTCTAATTCGATGTTCTTAACTGTAATTATTCCTTTTACGAAGGTCTCAAAGTGTCAATTCCCCTTTTTTTTTTCAATATTCCATTGTTTTTTTTAATCAAACTAGACACAAGAAAAGAAGACTAAAAATATTTTTATTTATTAATATTCACTACTATCATATAATATATATATATGGATCACATAATTGTATTTCATTAAGTTTCATCGCATAAATAAAATGTAAACTATACATTAATCATAAAAATATTATTTTTTATTCCATTCAAATTTCAACGCAGTTATTTGATACTATTAAACTATATATCATTAGTATCAAGCCCTATATGAAGGTAAATATGTCGACTTTAGTCTTTTGTATTTACAATATTTAAATTTATCCCTCGATTCTATGTAAAAGAGAACATATTTTTTCTATTAAACCATGTAATATTGACATGCCAGATTAAATTCCTTAAACTGATTTTAAATAAGACGAATATATAGTCGGCCAACTTGGGTCTATACGAGCCATACAAAATTAGTCCCACGTCTTCGTCCAATCTCTTCCCTTGTTTCATCTAAAGAACCACTTGATCGGAACTTTATTCTTCAAAGAGGCATACAAATCGTCCACGTTCCATTGTTTGGCATGCCATTTTATATTAATTGGTCAATTACTGGAAAGTTGGAATGATCTTATCATTGTCACGGAACGCGATCAATAAGAACCTAATATTAGGAATATATCTATGTGATCAACGTCCAAAAAAGAATATATCTATGTAATTAAAAAAGGATTAATACCATATTTAGTTCTTAAATTTATTTTTTTTGGTTTGGGATTTTTTTTTTGAGCTATGTATAGGTATCTTTTTATTATAAACAATCCTAGAAGCATTGTCTGGTATCAAATGTAGGTATCTCTCCTAACAATAATTGAAACATTAGTTTACTATGTTGTGAGAAATCAGCTTCTTCCGCTAAATCAACTATTTCATAAAATTTGATATCATTGATTTCGGTCCATGAAACAAACACTGTTTCAGGAGCCAGAATCTTTAGATAAACTAAAATAATGTCAAATTTTATAATTTAAAACCATTGGTTTTAAATTTGACAGGCCAAAATTAAAGCAAAATTAAATTTTCGGAGCTAAAAAAAGTATGAACCGTTAAAAAATTAAAAGAAATTTCCAGAAAAAAGGACAAGTCATTTTCTGAAAAGATCCGCTTCCATCAAATTCTTGCCAGTGATTTTGCCCTGCGCATCGCCTCCAATAACTTCGTATGGCCTGTATTGGAGCGTTGAGAACAAGCATATATGTGTGCATGTGGGCCTGCGTTTTATGCAAAACGACAACGACCTGGAGAGTTGCGCACTATTCAGAGAAGCAAAAAATCAAATTTGCGTTGAGAGGTATAGTGGTGGATAGTGCTGAATGGTTTAGGAATCCACCAAAGGGACCAGTTTCTGATAATGGTACTGTGAACGGGGGGATCCTATCTACTTTACGTGAAGCACAAGCCTCCAATCTTCTGTTTCGCTCATTTTTATCTTGTGTTTTCTCTTTTCTCCTTCAAAGGAAATTTGCTGTTCACAACAAGACTCCACCAGCTAGTGGATCCTCTGGTGGCACAGAAACTTTATATATTCGAATGCTCTGCTCGACCACATTCCTGGCCGTGATATTCTAAGGACCTCAATGAACAGATTTTTAGTTCAACGCTTAATCATGTACTCCCTTGACAATGTTCAAATTAGATAACTAATTTATAAAGATTAAGTAAAATGAGTTAATTTGGTTATTTTTAACAAATATATATTAGGTTTACTAAAATACCCTCTTTAATTATTTTTTTATTGAAACTACTCCTTGATTGAAACTCCTTTTTAGAGAAAAAAAATATAAATTTGATAAACAAATTACTATTTCACTAAATGAAATATAATGTTATGTGCATATAATTTTTTCAGGAAAATTGTTGACAACCTTCACTGTAAAATTTATTGCCTAAAAGTAACCTAGAATTTGTTTAAGGACCAAGGTGCAACATATTTTCAGTGGGTGTAACTCTTTTTCAATTATATGCAGATGTAACTTATCTTCATTTTTGTGCAGAACAGAAGATATTTGCACATACTTACCCCTTGCTTGGATTGAAAGAAAATTAGGGAGGAGGGAAAACTAGAAAAGAAAATATAAGGAGAAACAAGTTTTCTCTTGCTTGGGTAGGGAAGAAAATATAGGAGAAAAGAAAAGTGAAGGAAAAAATAAAGTGGGCCACATGTCTCATTTTCTCTCCAAATTTTCTCTCCATATATGAAGAGATTTGGAAAGGAAAACAAGATTTTCATGACTGCCCCTCCTTTTTCTTAACTCTCTATGTTTATTTTCTTCTATTATATTTAAAAAGTTATTCACTTTTTATTTTTTATCTTAAAACAATATTTTTATTAAATAACCTGGTTTTAAAACATAATAATCTGAAAAAATATATAAACCAAATAATTTGATTTTAAATTATTTGATGATGCTAATGTTAGTATAATTTTTCTATTGCAATATTTAATTTAATTTAATTTTAAATATGATATATTTTGGTAAGAACATTTTAGTCATTTAGATATTTGCTAACTTTCTTTCCTCTCTATTTTATCTCATCCATCCAAGCAAGAGGGATGATAACAACTTCTCTCTACTTTTTCCTTCTCTCTATTTTTTTTTCTCTCATTTTCTTTCCTTTCAACTTTTTTTCTGATCCAAACAGAGCCTTAGAGATGTGTTGAATACGGCTGAAGAAGAGTTGTATCGACTGAAAGACTTAGGTTCTTTGATATTTACAGGTAACAAATTCTATAATGAGAAAATTTCAACAGTTTTTCCTATTCTTTTAACTTTTAAATCTCAACAAGAAATCCAATTTTCGGCATCTACTTTTGTCGAGGGGAATGGCATTAACATTGGCCAAAAAATAAAAAAAGGAGAATGGCATTAAAGGGATTTAAAAATGGTGAAACACACTAAACAGATGGGATTAAAGTTACAAATTAAACCAAGCTATTGAAAACCCCCCCCAACTCCCAAAAAAAAAAAAAAAACAGAGTCACACAACATGCGAACTTCCACAGCCATAATGTAATGAAGCCAAATGCATGCATATAGTAATAATAATATGGTGCCCCATTATCATTATTATTATTACAAAAAACACAATCATATTAAAGATGGAGCAAACTTTGGCGTGAAACAACAAAATCACCACTCACATAATTATGATCCCCAAATTACCAACCACTCTACATGTATATATGTTTCCAGTGTCCACGTTTCTAACTAAACCACCTTGTGCTTTACAAGATCATTATCATTTTTCTTACACATTTTTGTTTCTCGCATAGGGTAAAATTACAGGCATTTGAGAGTTTGTTTCGTGGTTTTTCACCTTTCTGCTGAGATGTTACCTTAGTAGGTGTTTGGGTAATTTCATAATCACTTTTTAAAAGTATTTTTTGACAAATCGAGACAAATTCCTCTCTATATTTATTTCGTATACCGTAAAAACATTTCTAAAATCATGATTTTGTTTTTATTTAAACACCCCTTAAGATGTGCTTGCTTTCATCAACATTTAATGCTACATTTTGGATCAGACACTTAATAATTGCTTAAATAAGTTTCTCACTTTAGTGTCAAAGCTAAAAAGTAACGTGGAAAATTTTATGCTAATGCATCAAATTATTACTAATTAATCATCAGCATCAATCTAATCAATGTAAAATATAAAATATGTAACTGATTCATACTATTGCAAATAATGAGTTACTTTTTGGACTTTATGTAATATGAGAACCACTGAATTTAAAATTAAATATAAAAAAGTATTATCAGTATGGCCGTGTTGTCCCATTTGACACAACAAAAAATTAAGGGTAAATTTACAATTTTAATTTTGATCTTGTTTCTTAATTGTATTTTTAACTCTGATCTGATTTCTCATGTAAGATCTTACCTGATTTTTTTTAAGTTGCAAATCAGGGTTAAAATTTCATGGGAAATTGTAAAAACAAACTTTAGAATTGTAAAAACGCAGATAGAAACCTTTGACAATTTCACTTTGGGTTTTGATAATTTCATGGCCTATTATTATTGTCAAAACCCAAAGTGAAGTTATCAAGAGTCTTTATCTGTGTTTTTGCAATTTCAAAGTCTTTTTTTTGTACTTTTTCCAAATTTCATCTTTATCCAAAAATTAAAAGCCACTGAGGGGAAAAAGAGTGGCCTGGGTGATTTTGGCAGAAGACTTTGAAAGGAATCACTGGCTACTGGGAGCTTCCGGCGGGAAAATAAAAAAAAAAAAGAAAAAAAAAAGCTTACAAGGCAGAGAAAAAAACACACCAAAAGCAATTCCTGTCATATAAATACACTCTGGTTAATCATTATTAAAGAGCCAAAAGCATAAAGAAATCCATAAATCTCTCTCTCTCTGATTATTTTGCTTCAAAAGAAAGAAGAGAGAGAGATAGTGATGGAGGAGTGAAGCAAGCCTGTTCCAGAAATAATGATTCAGTGTTCGCTTGCGTCTTCGGCTTCTTCATACCGGCATTGATCTTCATCTCTCAGGTGCTTCCTCCTCTTGATTTTCTTTCTGCTTGCCTTTTTAAACAAGATTTTGATCGCGTTTTGTTTGGCCTGATCCCTTATTTATCTTCGCTCCATTGCGAGGCTTCTATTTCTGTTAGTTCTCTCTTTCTTTCAGTTGCTCCTAGCTCTGATTATTGATTCTGCATTTGCTTTGGAATAACTAAGGACTGTGTTGCTTGGCATTCTGTTAAGGTTTCCTAGAAGTATTTTTATAAATTTATTCTCTGAGAAGGAAAAAAATGACTAGCCGATCGTTGCTTTTATGGCCGTTCTGCTGGATAATCTGTTTCAACTTTCATCTCTGTGGATTATAAATTACAGAGTAGCTTTTTTTTTTTTTTTTTTTGGGAAGAAAAATGTTGATAGAACTGCTTAATGCCTATGCAATACGCACGATTAATATTTTGCATGTTTGTCTGCCGAGGAACTTGGAAAAAGCAAACAAACATAATTTGAACGCTTGCTTCGAGTTAAAGGAAACGAATCACTCCATTACACTCAACTCTTTGAAACGAAAGGCCACGGCTGATCATTTGAATTCTAATTTTGTTTTTGTCTTGTATATTCTATTTTGTTAATTGTTTGGAAAACAATTCAAGAAGGTTTAAAGTGTCACTTCCGTTTTGAACCTCAGAAAAATGTTTTGGTGAGTTTTACCTTCTCCTGAAAGCTGGAAGTTCAGAAATCAGCTCGATGGATAGGACTTTGTTGAACAAAGAATTTCCAATGGACTCATTCTGTGTGGATTTTATGTGAAACGTTCTCTCTATAAACATTAATAATTATTGGTACGTCGTTGGTTTGGTTGTGCCGACATTGATTTGGCTGTGACGATTATTTTTATTTCCTTCTGGAAATCAGATATAAAGCAGAGAGAATGATTTGGTAAGAAAAACGGTTAAAATTATCAAATTAGAATTTAGTCTACGAATAGGAAATACTCGGCCGAAAATTCTACGACTGTTGAGACTTAACAGAATGATTATTATGTCGGTTACGTGAAGACACTTTAATCGTTTACTAAAATTATCAGTTTCAATTTATGCATAGCTAAAACAGTCATGTATTTCACATGATAACAAATCTGTTTCTGCATTTCAGGGCAACAGAAGATCTTATTAGAATGATAATGATAATATTTTTTCTCCTCTGCTCTATTAATGCTTTTCGGTAGAGGATGCGTTGAAGAAGAGATGGAAAGCGGTGCAAGCAGCAATACTCGTAATGAGAGCTGTACCAGTACCACCACCACCGTATCCAAGGACTGTTCATGGTTCAGTCAATTTCGCAATGCGTCGAATCCTTGGATGGCAAGATATGCCTATGGCTTCATTTTTCTAGTCGCAAATCTGTTGGCATGGGTAGCGCGAGATTATGGTCGGGGCGCTTTGACAGATTTGGAGAGTAAGATTTGCCTAAATTCACTGCCTGTCATGTTAACACCATATCATCTAGTTTTCCACTACTTCTTGCAGTATCAGTTCACATCCTCGATTTTTTCATTACTACTTCATCTCAATGCATGCTTATCTTAGAGCCGACTTTCTGTGAAACAAATAATGCAATTAACTCTCAGAAGTTCCCAACTATTGAATATCTTGATGCTTGCTCATTATGATACTTTGGTTGATGACCAGAGTGGTGAAGGCAGTATTTTATTTCTAAAACTATAAACAGCATTATGTTCAACATTAGTAAATCGGATCCTTTTCTTTATGTTAATAAAACCTGCACTTCAGTCCAAAGCTGTCTTCATTTGAACCTTTCGCTTTCTTAATTCTTTTGATGCCAATACCCAATAGCTCAAGATGTCATGTACACATTGCAGGGTTGAAAGGATGCGACGGTGGCAGAGACTGTCTGGGTGCAGAAGGTGTTTTGCGTGTGAGCTTCGGCTGTTTTGTATCCTTAGCAAGAAACATAGCTGACGAAGACTTTGCGTAATGTTCGAGTGGGTTGAAACAAAAAAAAAAAAAAAAACCAGAAGGTCGTCTTGTCCTTTAAATGCTGTGAAATTTAATAAAATACTCTGAAGCATGAAAAAACAAACAAAAATTTTTTTTTTGTACGAGTGAATTATTTATTTTTGATCTATTTCTACCGCTTTCTTTTTATGACACATTCTGATGTTCGCGCATCATAATCACCTGGTAATTTATGTCCATTAAGAACGCAAAACCAACGAAGGCTCCTAGTCAAGGAGTTCAATAACTAGCAACTTAACTCAAGCTTCAGCCTTAAAATCTCCGTGGTGATCCTTAATCCTTGATCAGATATTTTTTATCACGATGTTTTTTTCAACCGCCGGCACTTTTAAATTGAACGAACCCAGGGATTCATGGCACTCAGGGTGGTGGACGGTTAAGCTGGTTCTCTGGGCAGTGATGACAATCTTTCCGTTTCTACTTCCGTCTGGGCTTATTCAGCTCTACGGTTGGTCAATAGTATATTTGCAATAAGATTCATAGTATCCTCTGTGATGTTAAAGGTCGCTAATGTATCCTTCCTTATTCTTGTGTTGCAATTTTGTTGGCAGGGGAGATTGCTCATTTTGGTGCCGGGTAAGTTTGTGCCTCGCATAAATAATTTTCGTCATATAATTTCTTGAACTGATGAGTGATAAAAGATTTCTGTGTTTTTTTTCCCTCAGGGTCTTTCTCCTAATTCAACTAGTAAGCATAATCAGCTTCATTACGTGGTTGAATGATTGTTGTGTGTCTGAAAAATATGCAGACAGATGGTAAGAGTTTCTTGCTTAATGAACTTAACGGAATTCCTGAGCATGAACAATTTTGGGATTAATGTAAATAACTATGTAAACATTGATGTTATTAAACATTTAAACAAGACATGTTCGGTCATACTTGGGCATTATATGTTGGCGTCAAAAATCCATGTTAGCCTTCTAGAAGAACTGGAAGCTCTCAACTGTCTAGAGCGTACTTGATGCTTGTGAATGGCTATTTAAGCATTAAGCTTTACGTGGCGAGCGGTAGGAGCGCAAATACTAAATTTTTTACTAAACAATATGGTAGCTAGGATAGGAGAACAAAAATTAAACTGTCTGTTGTTCATTACCTGTCCAGTCCGTTTGTATCGGTTGCAATACATACAAATATAAGTTGACAAGTTTAGGATAATATCATTACTAATATGCCTTTAATCATAAATGTTATGCAGCCAAATTCATGTGATATTATTCGCAACTACTGCGTATGTTATCTGCTTGGTGGGGATCATTTTGATGTACATTTGGTATGCACCACAGCCATCTTGCCTCCTGAATATTTTCTTTATTACTTGGACACTAGTGCTTCTCCAGCTCATGACAAATGTGTCCCTGCACCCAAAAGTAAGTTCTACTTCTCGCTGTGGGTTTGCTGGTTCATAACTTTCTCGGCCTTTTGGCTAAGATTAAGATCAAGTGTGTTTTCTGGTTCTATTCATCTTATACTACAATTTGACGGGAATTTCCGAATTTCCCTGATATAGGTGAATGCTGGCATTCTAACTCCAGGGCTGATGGGGCTTTATGTTGTATTCCTCTGCTGGTGTGCCGTTAGAAGGCATGACGACTACCACTCTCCTATAGTTTTCAACCCTTTTGTCTTACCTAATAATAATCCCTCTCCATGCTGGAAAATTCTTAAAGAAAGACACCTGATTTAAGTGAAATATTTGTATTTTTATTTCTAGTTCTTCATTGTTTTGGTCATATTTGTGTCTGCAGTGAACCAGATGGAGAAAACTGCGTCAGGAAGTCAGACTTTGCGGCCAAAACAGACTGGTTAAGCATAATTGTAAGTACTAATCCATGCTTAAACGATATTTGTACTTTGTACTTAGTTCTATTGTTATAGTTGTGAACTTTGTAAGGTGTGTGTATATCTATCACTTTTGTTAAAATTCTTTCTTGATGAAGGCTTGGTAGTGCTAATTTCTACAGCTTTCCAATATATGATCTCGTACTTCTTTGCGGGCTGACTTGCAAAAAATAATTCTGTTGACAGAGCTTTATTGTTGCAATACTAGCAATCGTTATTGCAACATTCTCGACGGGCATCGATTCCAACTGCTTCCAGGTTAGTTACAGAATTAGAACCGGACTTGAATTTTGAATTAGGCTCTCCGGTACAAATCTGACAGAGAACCCTGCAGTTCAGGAAGGATGACACCCCGCCAGCAGAAGATGACGTCCCCTATGGCTATGGCTTCTTCCATTTTGTGTTCGCCACAGGAGCTATGTACTTCGCAATGCTATTAATTGGATGGAATACTAACAGTCATCATGTAATGAGGAAGTATGGTCCCACCCCCTCCGGTTGGTCTATCTAATTACCAATTTAATGAACAGCATGATGAAAAATAAGCATTTATGCTTTTTTTTTTTTTTGGGAAAATAATCACGTACACTTTAGTGGCCATGGTTACTAGTAATGTAGCTTCCGTCAAGTACTGAATATGTTATTTAGAAGATTTAGATTCCAGCACCACACTAGAAGCCTATAATGGCCATCAATCATGCCATCGACGTAAATGTCCTGAACCATATCATGTTATACTTGTGGGAAGCTTCATCAGAGCATTCATGAAGGATCCATAAATAACATTCAATGCCTTTTTATTCTTCTGCAGGTGGACAATTGATGTGGGCTGGACCAGCACCTGGGTCAGAATTGTAAATGAATGGCTCGCAGTCTGTGTTTACTGTAAGTAATTTTGTTCAGTGAGGACCCACGAATTTTAAATTCGTAGCGAAAGATGCAATGCACTAACTTACTCTATGTAGTTTTTAGTACAACCGTGGCACATAATTAAAGGAGCCTTTTATTATTATTACTTTTAACAGTGTGGATGCTGGTTACACCCATCATATGGAAGAGCCGACAAGCTAATGCTACATAAAAAAAAAAAAAAATTTAAAGAAAATTCCTGACCTACCCGTTCGTGCTAGCTGAGATTCTTTTTATCGTCCCTTTTGGGTTGAAGATTTGGATGTTGACATTACCCCATAGAGAACGCAATGAACTCCTCCAGCTCTGTCAGATAGGAAATTCTTCGTCAGAAGCACTGGATCCGGGGACATAACCCTGAAGGATATCCAATTTATCTCCAGGTGAGGATATACAGTCTTCTTCTCACTCGATCTCAAGGACTACGAAGAAAATACGCTTCTTAACCTGTTCGTGTTACTCCTGAGATAAAGATTCAGGGATGCGTGCATCATAATTTGCTTAGGAAGTTTCATTGCTGGCTCCCTTGCAAAAGAGAAGCATATTTTGGCGTCTCTGGTGAGAAAGGATATTGTAATCAAGTATAGGAAATTTTGTCCTTTTTTTTAACGTGCAGCACATGCTCCCTGGGAGCATTCATCACATAGAATAGTGATTTTTCGTTTAAAAAGTGGATTCCCAGGATCCGCTGTGTATTATGTATTTTACCCACATAGGAACGGACTAAGGAATACTGTGGTGTTACAAAGACTTAAACTTGACTATAATTTATCGGTCACACTATATCATACATCATCATGTAATATATTTGTACAATGCAGCAAAACATGAAACAACACAGCTGCTCAGCACCATCGAGGCTACTATTGTAAATGTCCATGATTGCACCCCAAAAAAAAAAAAGTGAGATATCCACAGGGTATAATTTTACTGTTTACCGCATAGAGGTCATAGGCTCTTTCCTACATAATTCCTTTACGTGAAGAAAGTAGACAAGGCACCTTTCTATATAAAAAATTTACATGGCCAAGGCAGATATTGTTCTTCGACACCCCCCCCCCAAAAAAAAAAAAGAAGCAAATCACTAATCTCTCTCTTTCTCTCTGTTTTTCTTTTCTTTCTCTCTCTTTGCACTTGTGGTTAGCTTTAAATGACAGAGGGTGGAAAACCGCAAACCTCTAGTTTGTACAGAGAGCAAAAGATGGTGCTTGGGTTGAGAACTTTGGTGGCCTTGCAGAAACGTTCTTAGCATCATCCAAATGGATTCCGTCCTGCAGAAGAGAGATTTGAGGAAGCAGAGGCTGAAAATGTACCAGAGAGATGCTGATTCAAGTTTGAGAAGCCAAAAGCGGCTCCCTCAGCACCAAAGCTCCCAATTTCTTGATGCCTGCACGTGAAGTTAAAAATATCAAAGAGGCATTATGAATTTTAACACTACGCCCATACTTAAATTGATCCTCGCACAAATTACTTCACAGACCAAGACAAGTAAAAACTCCAAAACTCTCAACAAGCGCAATACCTAACAGATTGACTGTCCCCTGTAAAATGAGCTTCCAACAGAAAAGAAGCAGCCTAAACAAAACAAAGAAAAAAACGTATGAATAATCATAATCAAATAGTTTTACCTTGGCATTGCCATGTTCGTTTGCACTAGGTGCCCCATGTAAGGTCCTGAGGTTTTCAAAACACAGGTCAGCATACAGGGGAGAAAAAGGTGGAATAGCCTCAGCATGAATCATGAAATAATTTACAGAAGAGTGATAGATAGATTAATTTACTTGTTGTCATTGCTGATGGATGAGGCTGCATTTGTTGGGGTGGCATGAATCCGTACCCAGGTGGATTCCACGCAAGTGATGGATTACTCAGGCTTGAAGGAGGCATTAAACCTGAAGTTGATACCCTTGGCAGAGCACCTTGCAAGGATGATCTCAAAGCAAACTATACCCAAGGAACACCAACCGTAAAAGCATTACCCAAAAATTTTTAATACCGATAAGCTGATTATCTAGTTTATACTTTCTCTGGTCTTTAATATAAGACACAGTTAACTAATTTGGGGATATTAAGAAAGTTAGTTAAGCTAGTTATTTGTAGTAAATAGATGTTGTCTTTCCTAAAATACCCTTATTAATCATGTATGTTTAAATTACCCATTGATAGTAACTCTTTAACATATCAACTACTATAGGGATTACTTGAGAGCAAAATAGATATAAATATAAAAGACAAAGTAGATTAAGATCTTACATTTAGGACCAAATTGAATATCAAACTAGCTCTTATATTAAGAACCAGAGGTGATATATAACATGAAATCCATAGGAAGTTGCAGTGTTCATAAGCTATTAACAATGCAATTTACCTCAAACTCCATGCAAAGCACAGACTCACAATATAGTTATAATAAAATTTTTCACCATAAACAGGCAACAACACAAATTTTGAATTTCAGGTTTTCCATATCATCCACTAAGTGAGACATTAGAAAGTCAGTATGCCTCTGTTCCAGCTCAGTAGATGCATAATGATCATAAGGAAAACGAAGAATAATTTTTCCCGCATTCACCAAATGCACGTTCATATCATTAATAGGCATGCTCCTCTAAAGTGCAGGGTTCTTCCGAATTAATGTACACAAGTAACCAAACATTCAAAAAAAAAAAGGAAAAATAAGAAAGCTTCTAGAACAATGACTCAAATGGTGGAGAAAATCCAAATCATACCATTGACCTTTCACAAATGATTTTTCCAAAATAACTATCTTCTCTAAACCGTATCAAAGACTCTAAAAGAAGCAAATCCCCATTCGGCACTCAGTGGTTTAATTCAAATCTCTTGTATGACCTACCATACATGGACAAAATTATGTAGTTTTCAAAGGTCTAAGATATTACGTATAGTAATATCATTCTAAAATAAAGGAGGTCACATACAGCTGTGGTTTGAACTGGTGGTTCGCCAATATCAAATGGATTTATTGATTTTGATGGTCGCTGAAGACTTGGCATGGGCTGTAAAATATTAGGCATTCGTATGAGAGATGCCTTACACAATTGTGTAAGCCACAGATTGAGAGATTAAACTTGTATGCTAATGTAGTTGGTTTGCAATCGCATTACCACAGCATTATATGGCATTGAGGTTCCCATCCCATGAGAAGGAACCATTTGCCACCCCGAAACTGCAGCAGGAAAGTAAGAATACTTTACAGTAAAAAGATCCTGCAGATGTTCGTAAGCTATAGTAAGTAATACTGTACATTACACACATCCATGCAAGTGTACAAGGTAGATGCCTTTTGAAATACAATAAGGAGGAAAAGTACCTCAGGAAGTTCTTTCCTTCCACTTGGTTTTACTTCTAAAGACGATCCTGAAGCCACATTAGAGCTAGTCTCAGTGGCAGGCTTAGAGATAACATAGGACACATGTGGCAGTGACATGTTTGGATCGCCTTGCATTGTTGGTGTTGGACGTATACCCCATGGCTGCAGGATATTTCCACGAAACAAGAAGGTGAACAAATACTACATCTACATAACATAAACAGAATGTTAGAGAATAAGCCATGCCTGATTATTTAATGCTCCTGCTGGTGGTGGTGTAGACTGATAATTTGAAGACTGACCAACATTGGGAGGGAACAAAGGCTGCAGATGGTGTGACGCTAAAGCACTATTGGATGGAATAGGCGCAAAGGTGCTGATAGGTGCAGCTCCAACAACAGTAGCAGTAAGAGATGGTGCTGGTGCAGGCCCAGCAGTTGAAACAGATAAGTTCCCAGTTCTTTGTAATGTCATAGTGCTCCCAGGAATGGGTATTACAACACTGGAACCATGCTGGACTTGAGAAGCATGAGCTGGTGGTGATGATGATGATACTGACAATTGGGAAAGCATGGATTCTAGTGTATTTACATTTGAAGGAGTTTGAGTTGCTTTCACTTCTAGGGGCACATCAAAAGAGGCCCAATTGTTGACATCACTGGAATTTGGTTGCTCCACAATGGATTGGGCAGTAGTTTGTTGGGCGTGTGTAATTGCTGGAGCCAGAGGAGGCTCAGGCTCAGCACCAAAATCAATAAGACTCTTAGGGGTCTCAAGCTTAGCTTCTGCAGGGTTTCCAATGTTGGATGTCAAGCTACTGGAACATACAGTACTCTGCAAATTATAAGCAGTCAGTTATGGTTATATAATTTATAATTTGAAATCATCATTGATCACCCTACAATACAAGTATACAATGGGAAGAAAAAGACAATGAGAGGTCAAAATGTAGTAATAACAGGGAATGGGGCAATAGTTGATGTTCATGCAAATAGGTAATTCCAATTTTTAATAGATGGTAAAAGAAAAGATCAACTCATGCAGGGGATGAAAATAAATCCACTTGTAACCAACAGTATATAAATTAAGCAATTTTTTTAAAACATAGAAATAGAAATAGAAGCATTTATTATGAAAGAACTGCCTCAATTTTTAGCATGGATACAGTTGGGCGATATTTCACATTTTAGTGTTTAACATTAAAATATAATATGGCACTCATACATAACAAATGGTAAACATGGTAACCCAAAATCATCACGCTTACTGCATAGTTACACAAAATAAACATAGTTGCATACATACCAAAACCCATTTTGAATGCACCAACGCCTCATCCATATTAAACACAAATCAACCAGTTACCTATACTGGGTAAAATTTCACTCCAAATTCAAAGGGAAGAAGTGCCTACTAAATCTTGTTGGACAAGATGTCTGCCATGGAAATCCTTAGCTCTTTATATAATAGAATATAAAATTCCATAAGTTGAACCAAGAAGTTAACAAGGGGGAAAAAAGCCTGATAAAATATAAAGTCTAGTGAGATACTGAAAGCTAATGATCGACTTTAATGTAGTAACAAATTGTAGGCCGAAACTCAGCACTGATTAACACTTAACAAACTCTAAACTAACAGCAGGTCTTGCATGAGGCCCAAATGGCTAAATCATATGGAACGTCATAATAATAATTTCACCTGTGTGAGAGCTGAGCCATCATTAGCTTTTTTACTATTCGTTTCAGAGGGTTTACTTATTTGAAGAGACGCTGCATTTTCTCCCAAAATATCTCTAACAGACCGAACCACGGGTGGGCTTGAGGAATCCGGGTTGTTGGCTTGCCCAGGCAATTGGCCTTCCAGCTTATAATCTCCATCAGATACCATACGACCTTCAAACCTCCTTCCATCTCCAAATCTATCTTCTTGATGCCAATAATTGATCGGAGGATGACTAGGATTTCTCTTATCATTACTGTACTGCCTACTTTCTTGATCATACCCAGGACTTCTTCCACCCGGACTAGAGCTGTCACTATATCGGTGTTTATATTTGTCATCATATGGTGGACTTTTAGGACCACCCTGATATGATTGAACTCTCGAGTTTACTGAGAAATTATCCTTGTCGCCCTGGACAACATGTAATGCAAGAAAGGAGACATAGATATAATGGAAAGGCCCAGAACTTTATAAAGTAAAAGAATGTACTTGTTAAAGTTCAATTTTAAACCAAATGTTTTATCTCTTCCAAAGACAGTGAATACAAACTGGGGATAAATGGGACTTTACTGTATTTACTCTCTGTGATTTGTCATAGGTCCTCTCACTAGTGAATCTTTTATCCACGTAAACTTGTTTAATAAAGTTGCGGAGCCTGGCAACATCACTGACACAAAACATGCCAATCAGAACAATGCATCTGGCAATTATAACAGATTACAAGCAAATAGTTACCTGTTATCAGGGAGAGAATGGCTTTTTGGGTCCCATTCTTTAAAATAAACTTCCTTTGCATGCTGCGAGAATCAGATACAGCCAAAATCAATCAATGAAATGGAATTCTGAAGTCCACTATAAGTACAAACAAGCCTTTATACCTGATTTCCTCCTTCCTGAAGTGCACTAACTTCTTGTGAAGTGAACTTGGCCATCGATATTGACTTGACTCTATGCGTAAATTCCCGGCTGGAAATTGACACAAAAAGTAATTGGCTTTCAGGTACAGTGTATTCAGCAGAAAGGAGACACCATGCTATGATTAGACATAGCTAAAGTAGTAGCACAAGCAAAATACATGAAAAGCATGCAAACCATAAGCACATGACAAAGATCAAGTCCGCGCTACACAAAAAATATGAAAGCCACTTTTAAGAACTTGATTAACACGGAACACAAAAAATATTGCAAGAGACTAAGGGCTTACTGTATCCCACCACAGGTTGTGCAAACAAACGTCATGAAATTTGTGCACACATATTGTGGCCCCTGCTTGGATGAAAAAGAAAATTAAAAAATTGTGTTAGTGAAAAGGATCGGTCACAATGCTATTTCTAAAATAAAATTTCTGTATACATATGCTAGAAGAGGCTGGTTAGAAATTAATACTACTTAAATATGTCCACAGACCACCTGAAGAATGTAACGGAGTTGAAAGCAGTAAATTATTTGGAACTTTTAAAGAAGGAAAACACAAAATAGAAATTTTATGAACTTATTTTGGAACACGTTGGAGCAAAGATTTAAATCTCCTGCTCACTACCCTGCCAGTGTTTCTACTGAAGAGACAACGGCATAATCTTAATGACTGCTGCAATGTATTGCTTCTA